CATCCGGTTAAGAAGGGCGCGATATTTCGGACGCTGCACAGGGCTAGTGCAGGTTGCAATTGAGAGAGTGATGGGTGGCTCAATCACAGCAATCGGGCCGACGTCCTCGCATGATCTGAGCGTGGGTGTTCACCGTCGTCGAAGCCAGCACCCCGCAGAAAGCTCTAGTCACCGTTGTGAGAGGCTGGTGAGGAGTGCCGAGAAAGGCCGTCGTAATTCTGACAAGCAGACGTGTCCCGCGCGCTGATCGCAGCGAAGCCAGCTTTAAGGTTTAGTGAACAGGCGTGGACGAGAAAGTATCGGCGAAAGATGTGCTGCTCGTGCTATCCCTTGTGGGATGGCGCCTGTCGCCCCGCAGCCGCCCACAAATTCCCCAGAGAAAGACTAAGCCAGGGTGGCAGGTGGCAGCTTACATCTGCCAGGCCGTCCCCGATTCTTCCGCCAGCCCTCCTCGCCCGTCTGACTTGCGCACTCGCCCTGACTGGTTTTGCTCTGTTCTTGTGCATTCAAGTCGTGAAACGCCTGGCGACTGAATATCCAAACTTCAACTACGATACACGGCCGATACTCGAGTACCGGAGCAGCGGATGACAGAACGTGACACGACCTATCAGTGATCGCCCATTGGGCCTTGGACGGATACCACCTGACACCACCGACGACGCGTAACGAACGACGCCAAAATGCCCGGAATACTCCCCATGAAAGTCATCAAGGTCGGCTCCAGCTGCCAGAGCCGCATCGCCCAAGCCTGCGACCGATGTCGCTCCAAGAAGATACGATGCGACGGCATCCGCCCCAGCTGCACGCAATGCACCAATGTCGGATTCGAGTGCAAGACGAGCGACAAGCTCAGTCGACGCGCATTTCCCAGAGGATACACAGAATCGCTGGAAGAACGCGTACGCATACTCGAGGCAGAGGTTCGCGACCTGAAGGATCTCCTTGACGAGAAAGACGAAAAGATTGACATGCTATCACGCATGCACGCGCGCTCGCCAACAGCGTTTTCGACCGCTAGACGACCATCCATACACTCTCCGGGTTCTTCTGACGTGCGAGAAGAATCACAAGAGAAAGAAGAGACGTTCAAGGTGCAGCAGGCACCGCTTCTGCTCGACGACCTGAACAGAGATTCGTATTTCGTGGGCAGCTCGAGTGGACGAACCCTTGTTGGTAAGAAACACGTTCTGTCGAGTGACGTGCAGCGCGTCTAACACTTTACAGAGGCTTTCAAGCAAAAAGCACAAGAGACCGGCAGACTTTCCACCGACATCAACTCGAGCGCCTTCTTTGGCGCTGGAGCAAGACCGACTGCGACTCACCCCAAGCGCATCGTTTCATTCAAAGCCCCTCCTCGTCTGGTCTCAGATCAGATGATCAACATCTTCTTCCAAGAATGGGCGCCTCTGTTCCCGATTCTCCATCGCCCGACCTTCTTGTCACTATACGAGCAGTATGTGGCTAGCCCGGATACCATGAGCGACAAGAAGTCGATTGCACAACTCAACTTGGTCTTTGGCATTGCCGCGCTGTCAAGCGACGTATGTAAACCTCGCATTCATGTCTAGCAGAATGCTAACTTCTCCAGCCACGCGACGGTCAAGACGTAGAGTCTTTCGAGGCTCAGTGGCAGAGCGCTGTCGAGAGCTTCTTGATGGACAATGACGTCGCAACGCTGCAGTGCCTTGTTCTTGCCCAGATCTTCTGCCTGCTGAGAGCTGATTACTCGCGGGTGCTCAAGTACAAGGGCTTGGCTGTCGGCCTGTCGCAACGTCTTGGCTTACATCAATCCCAGAAGCGCTTCGCACTCGATGCATTGACGAGCGAAACGCGCAAGAAGCTGTTCTGGTCGCTGTACACAGTCGACTGGTAAGTAGCCTTCGGCCGAACCCCGCCGTTACACTTACTGACCGCTCCTAGTCTCTCCGCTGCACACCTCGGACTACCGAAGCTGATCCGAGAGGAAGATGTGCACTGCGAGTATCCGGTAGATGCCGATGACGAATACGTCACCGAGAAGGGGTTCCTGCCGACCCTGCCCGGCGAGTACACCAAACTTTCCAGCGCACTGGCTCTGTTCCGCCTGTCGCGCATTCTGTCCAAGGTGCTGACGGAGCTCTACCCCGGATCGGCATCACATGACATTTCGTTCCGCACTATTGCGTCGCTCTCCGACGAGCTGGAAGACTGGCAGGCTAACCTCGCGCCTCACCTCAAGCTGACGTTTGCGCAAGACAAGCCAAGTACCAACGTCACCAGCAGCAGATCACCTGTTTTGGTATGTCTTTCAATACCTGGTACATCTACCGAATGCTGACAAGCCTAGTCTCTCGTCTACCACCACATTAGGGCGCTTGTATACCGCCCAGCCGTTGTTGCTAATCTTGGCGACAAGGGCTCGTCGGCCGTTGTAGCCGTTGGCGATGCCTGCAAGCATATTGTGCAGATTGTTGAACTCCTAGACGAGCGCAAGCTTAGCTTCTCGTTCTGCCTCAATCGCAATGAGGTTCTCGTCCAAGCCGGCTTCGGCCTGCTCTTCCAGACCTTGACGCTAGCTCGCGAGGGCAAGTTGATCAAGGACAGCAACCGCCTGGTATGCTCTGTAATGGACATGCTTGAGCGTGGAAATGCTGCTGGCTATGCCGAGTTCCGTCGCGTGGGCTGCGGTATCGTGGCGGTCCCTCAGGTGGAGCAAATGCCAGCCCCACCTCTGTCACGACACAACTCAGAGGGCCACATGGGAGCGCCTCTGGATACCTTCCGTGCTACCCAAAAGTCGCTCAAGGCTCTTGCAGCTCGCTTCTCACCAAGCATGATGAAGAATGCCCGACAAGACCAAGAGCCTCGTCGTGCGACATTGCCTGCTCTCTCGCCCAGCGTGGGTGCGCATGCTAATCCTTCTCTGACGAGCTTGTCGTCCATTCAATCAGAGCCTCCTGTCGCTCGTTCAGAACCAACATTGAGCCCACTGTCACATCGCGCATCCTTCTCGATGCCAAACAAGCGTCGCCCAAGTCAGCCAACACCCCAGCACCAGCAACAACAACAACAGCAGCAACAGCAACGCAACATCGACTACCTCTCCTTCGCCAACGACCCACTCGCGAGCTACACCCTCCAAAACAACCAAGGCATCAAAACCGAAGTCTCGACCTCCGACTGGGAGCGCCTCCTTTCCTCCCTAGACAACGGCCAAACAAACATCTACGACACAATCTACGGCGGTCCTCCAGCCGACGCCCTCGTCGACGTAGCCCCGCAATCCGCCAACACAGACAACAGCAACGTCACATGGTCGCCAAATGTCTGGAACTGGAGCGCCTACAGCTCTGAAGCCCCACCACCTCAAAGCGTACTGAGCTTCAGCGATGAGAGCCTGACTAGTGGTGAGGAATTCAGCACTGGGGCTTGTGATTATGGGTCTACGCCTGGTAGCGATAGATTGTATCCTGGTATTATGATCCCTGGTGACTACGATAGCACGACGGGTTTGACGGGCTTGGATGCTACTTACTGTGGGTTGTAAAGTGCCAGCAGAGTCGATGATATCACGATGATTACGATGGGTTGTATAAATGGAGAATGGGTGTCTGGCGCATAGGGTTGAGGGTTCTTCACCTGTTGGTAACACGGGTCTGGTTGAGCTTTTGCTGCTTTTGAGATACCACGCTTCTGGCCTGAGCGAAAGAGAGTCACGATGCGAATTGGGATGGAGGGACGAGCTACTTTCTTTTTTCCCATGGAAATCTTCGTAACATAGTCTTCTTGGTTTATTTAATTCAACATTTGCAACTCGCTACCTTCATTTGTTTTCGCCAGTGTGCTTGTACATCGCCCTGAGCTTCAAAGCTCGTTCTTCGTACATCACCGTCTCCCAAAACCTCCGATTATCGGCAAATCCCGCCCTAGGATGCATCTCGCGCCGGATGAAAGGAAGTCCTACCTCTCCCCTCGCGTGCGTCTCCAGCCACACACCCTCCCACTACCACGAGACAACCCTTACCTACATACACAGCACACCCCGCACCCCAGCTAGCCTACTGCGCGACCCACATGGTTCGCACGTGGAGAAATATGCGGGGGGTGTCAGCCTCAGCCCATTTCGGCGTCAGCTTTCCATTTTCCACTTTTGCCCTTGCTTGGGAGTGGGGACGCGCGATGCAAGGGTTTCGCGATCGGAGGCATACTGCGTAATCGGTGTGCTTGAAAACGAGCGCCCATTAACGCCAACAAACGCCATGGTGTGGTGAGATTGTGGAAATGCCACTCGCTGTACATAGATAGTGTGGCGTAGCGCTAAGCATTGTATGTATGGGTTGAGTATACGAGATGTCATAGAGCGCTGCATGCGTTCAGCTCTTCGCAATTGTTTCTGCCCATGAAATGAAGTAGAGAAGGATCTCATCGAGACATCACGATACACAGCGTCATGATCGGCGGGAAGGTCCTTGGCTGGCTGCCCTAATCGGAGTCTACGCAACACGTCATACATCGCGATCTATTTCCCATGATGTACATATTCTACATTCGTATTGAGGGGTTGGAGCTAATCGGAATATTGTAGCCAATCACAAAAAGAGACTGAGAAAGTTTCCGTCACTCGCTTCTGACAGGCCCGACAGGCTTGATCCTTATTCCTGATTGATGTTGGTGATGGGTCGGCCCTTTGTAGCAGTTAGCGCGTGGGCGTTGGAAATGCGGGGTGGGTAGACGCGATCACACCATGTTGTTGCAAGTGCAGGGACTGGGATGCCAATCATCGTTGTGAACGTGGTTATGGCGTACAGCTGGTGTTGAGGGGTATCGTATGGTCGGGAGAAGTCGGAGAGGTGGTATGCGTCGTCGTTGGGAGAACGTTCGAGAATTGTGCCCACATGTCAGTGTCCGCTGAGCTGTCGACATGCAGTCTCTCCGTTCGTCCCTTGACGTTCTCTTGTCGCGATGCATGAAAGCATATCCGAAGACACATTGCTCCACATAACTCCGACATCGCCAGTCTAGCGCAGGAACTCAGCGTTGAGATAGTCGACAAAGACCTCCTTTATGCGTGCTTTGGAAAAGCTATGTTGACGATTCAGGGTGATGAATTGGCGGCGGATGCGCTGGAGTTGCGGGAGTGTCATTGGCGTCGCAGGGAGCTCGATGGGCTTCTGGACATCGGCAACGGCTATCTCTCCACCTCCTTCACCAGGGTGGTCTTTCTGGTACACCATTATCTGGGCGAGGATATCGGAGGTCGTCTTGTCGAGCTCGTAGAGGTAGTTCTGCTCTGTCGCTGGTTTCTACTGTGTGTTAGAGGCATCTCAACACATTAGAAGAACTGGAGTACGCACCAGCACGGTCGCAAGGTTCGGCTTGACAGTCTTCATCTTGCCATCGCTGCTGACTATGGTGTCCCATATCTGGTCGCACGGCGGCTTCTCGTCCTCCTCGACGACGATGAACAGCGGACTGTCCCATCGCGTCATGCCATTGGGCTCCTCATACCGGAAGATGAGGTTCTCAAAATCTTCCTCCTCGTATCCGCCATCAACCTCTTTGTCCGCCAAGAGCTTCTTGTTGTTCTCGCGACATCGTTCGGCGGGCGTGCCTATGTGCAGCTCTAGGACTGTCAGTCGTGCATCCCATCTGCGCACACGGTATACTGACAACGCAGCTTGGAGTCTGTAGGGCCTTGGCCTCGCAGTACAGCTGGTAGCGGAAGCCCTTGATGTAGTTCAAGCCATCGGCGATAACGATGTCATCGCGCGACAAGACTCTTTTGACGGCGGAATATTCTTCCGCACGTGCATCCTTTTCGGCTTTGGCGGTATGGTAGACGGCGCGCGACACGCCCAGCGACTGGTCGTTGATGAGATGGACTCTTAGGCGGGAAGTGCGCGCATCAGGAGGCGAACTGGCGATCTTGGCCTCGAAGAATTCTTTTAGCTGGAGGGCTCTGGTGGTCTTGCCCGCGGAAGGGAAGCCTTCGTTTGTGGGTTAGCTCAATGGCGGGGGGAAAAGCATGGAGGGGAAGGTGGAACCTGAAATTAAAACGAGCTGCCCTGGTCAGTAGGCGAGTCTGGGGAAGGTTCAACGAGGACTTACGGGCATGTTGCGAGTAGGGCGAGTAATGCTTTGCCTGCAAGAGGTAATCCGCGTAAAACTAAAGGAACATGGCGTCTCGATGCGATGGCAAGCGTCGGCAGATCAGATTGGCCTGTGACGAAATTCACGAGCTAGCAGTCTGAGCCGCGGTCCAAGTAAAGCCATGGATTGTGGTGCCTATCTTGCAGGCGATTCCACCTTCCTTTTGCCTGTATCCTGCTTTGCCTCACCTTGTCCCGACTTCAGCCTTTATTGCACACGTCTAGACAAATTCGCTGGGATTGTTCCGGGTGACGCGCAGAAGATCGCCAATACAGGGTAATATCGAGCTACCACGGGTCCATATTTACTTTACCCATACCCTCGCCTCACCCACTGTCTACACCCTCTCCACTCCTCTGCTCTCCTCGCCTTCATCGAAGACTTCAAAGACTCCACCACGACCCTACCAGCCATTCCCGCAGCCATGTCCAACTACTCGCAACAACACTACGGCGCCCCCAGCCGACCCGCCTTCTCTGCCCTCCAGTCCTCCAGCACCCCAGCCGCAAGCTACACCAGCACGTCCGCCTCAAGCCACGCCTCCTCACGCTCTTCGACGCAATCTGCACCGCCCGTCTCGCCGTCGACAAGCCCCCAGAACCAGCAGTACTTTGGCTCCCTGAACCAGCAGTCGCAACAGTTGCAGCAGCAGCCTCGCATGCAGGCCCAACGGCAGAACAGCTTCGAGTACCAACCGAACAGGTCAGGAGCCGGCCAGACAGCTGCTGAGACGACAAACTACCTCAACCAGGCTGCGCTGCTTGCCGAGGCCGCGAAACGGGCACAGATGGCGTGTGTGATGCGAGATCTCGACGGAATGGAACTATAATTTCCGTACGACTTGGCTACAGATCCGTCGTACCATGGCAAACACCACCGCGACAAGACCATGCACACCGCGAAAACATTTTGCCGGTCAAAGTCGGCCGTGAGCGGTCTACTTTACATGTGCATGCTTCCAATGGAGTGGGTCCGTCCATCAAAGTCTTCAAACTCCGCGAGGTCATCACTCCACCATTCTCACCGAAACATTCTTCGTCATACCTTTCGCTCGAGTCTGCGGTGAAGAACGTACCGGTGCTGCGTTTACCGACTATACTGCCCGATATTCTTACCGCGGCTACTTCATTTCGATTGTACATACTTCTCCACTATCGGACCGACTAGGCTGTTCTGTCCACTTTGCACCTTTTCCTACTACGGAGCTCGTATCTTGACAGTTGTACTTTGGGTGTCGAGCACTCTGGGGAATCCACTGTATCTTGTGTTGTCAGCATATAGTGGCTACCTTTTGTGCCTTCGCTTAGACACATCTTGGAGAAACCGAGCTCCCCCATACATCATCTATCTCATTGCTTGGAGTTCCACGGCGAAACAAATATCACACCGTCACTTTTTTTCATTAGTTCTTTTTCCCTTTCACATGTCGCGATCCTCGAGTCTAGACTTAATAGCAAACGAGCGCTTTGGGCATTGGCAGCATTTCTTTTTAGACGGACTACGCATGCGGATGCGGCATATAGTATAGACCAATCAAGACACTTTGTCCATCACCGTATGCGTTATCGATCGTCGCGCTTCGCTCCTGCTATGCTCACACAGGACGGCGACGATGCTTGAAGTTTGCGCATGGATGGGGGACTTGCATGATTATCTTGCTCTACAGCTTCGGTGGTAAGCGCTTTGACAAGCCTTGCGATCGTGAGAACTTGTCACGCAAGAGTGTAGAGATTGATACATCTCCACGTATGCAACAAACTCTAAGCTCAGAAGTGTTTTCCATGGGCCAACTTAAGTCCTGTGGTTCCCCCTACCCAGCGAGTATGGATAGTCAAGTTACCGTTGAACCATTTCGTAGAGCCAAAGGAGGCATTGGGACCATCACAATACACCCCAACAACACAGTGGTACTCGACGATAGATATTGCTATGTAGAAAGAAAGGCGAACAACAGACTTTTAAATACTAAGCAACGATGGCGTGCTCGCAACCCTTATCTCCTCCACGCAGCCTCGTGCGGGGTCCTTCACCGGAACCACCCCAAACGAGCCCGAGAAGATGAAAGGGCGTGCATATGCACATACATATAACCTGCATCGTATAAGAACGTGCAGCAAGGCAAAAACCCATAATAGAAACCCCGAGTAAACCGATAAAAGCCTGGTCTGCGCACCATTTGCCTACTGTGAGGCTCAACACCTCTGCACCGAACTGCGAACTTCCACTCCCTCGTTCGTCGCCTCACTTACTGACTCAACTTCTCATTGCCAATTGTAAAAGGGCACGGCGACCCGTCCCCAACCACTCACTGACACGTGCCTCGCCTGCAGCGCCCCTTTGAATCATCCGACCAATGCCAGACCAACGGGTCAACACACCTCTTTGGCGTCACCAACTCATCGCCCATCTTACTATCGCAGCGTGCCAGCGACGATGGCCGCAGTGGTAGTGAGGATGAGCTTGATGCTGAGGGTGCCGCGGTCGGAGATGTAAGCGGACGGGAGAAATCTATGACCACGATGCTGCCCGATGTGTTGTCATCATTGGAGCCGTAAGAGCGCCCTGGTTTGATCATGAAGACTAGGCGTTGGGAGTCGAGGACGCCGGTTACGCTGCGTGTGGCGGAGGATGATGAGTTGATGGTGGGGAGTGTTGGGTTGAGTATGTTGTGGAGGCGCGCTGAGCAGGGACAGCGTGATGAGGGAGGAGGCCACATGCGGACAGGCGACTGGCGGTAGAGTGTTTGCGTATCCACGAAGGAGGGCTTGGTGTCGTCGATGGGCGCTTTTCCTTTGCTGTTGCTGGTGCTGTTGCGAGTGGAAGTGAAGGAGAGGCCTAGTTCGCGGCGTGATCCTATTCGCAGTCTGAGACATGGTGCTGAAGAGGAGCTGGAGCAGCAGCGGTCGTCTTCGACTAGATCGACGAAGGAGGTGCATGGGTAGCTATAGGCTCTGAACTTTGTTCGAGAGAGGGTGAAGGAACGGGGCGAAGGATCTGTGGGGGAGAACTCAGGGTGTTGGCTCCAGCTGTAGAGATCGGGTGTTGGTTTCCATTGGGGGTTGTTCGATGAATCTATGAGTGGGAGGAAGAGATCATCCTCAGGCCCGAGTAGTTCATCAGATAGTTCCTCAATATCGTCCTCGTCACGAAAGTCCATCTTAGTAACGTAGAAGGTGCGTGACTGGCGAGAGGATGCTTGGGCCCACTCTCGACGCGACTCCACAATCACCGTCTCGTTTGTACGCTCATCAAGCTGTAGTGCAAGGTCGGTCCATGAGTCGTGAATTGGTCCTTGCTTGTGCTGTCGACGAAAGAGGCGCTCATCTTTCTGAACGTCATCCGGTTTGTCCAGCGGAAGTCGGACCACATGGTAGAAGGAAGTATAATCGATCTCTTCAACTTCAAAGGTGCCCTGGTTAGAGACTGCGTAAAAGTAGTTATTGTGGATTTCGAACGCGATGGTGGAGCCGATGTCAGATCCGTGAAACTTATCGAGCAGTACTGGTCTTTCGCGTTCGGTTATCCGAAAGTCTTCATGGAGTGAGATGCCCTCAATCTCCCATTTGTGATGACCGTCATCGCCGATTCCAGTATGTGTGCCGTAGTATAAATAATGCTTATTATGTCTAACAAAAAGCTTAGAGCATTCGCTTAGTCGCACCGATTCGATCACTCTTTGTCCATCCGCAAGGTTTGCAGCTGTGTTGATGGCGAATATGTGGCTGTCATCCGAGTTGTACTTTGGTATAGAATGCACAGAGAGGATCTCATCAGCATAGTAAAGTAAGCGCACGCTGATATTACCAAAGGCTCTGAACTTCGACTCCAAAACAGGCCGAATGATAGCTTGGAGATTGAGAGGGATAGCTTCCTTCCGCGAATTGAGATCCGTGACGTGGGCCACCCCAGCGTCGAAAACACATATAGTCCCCTGTCGATACAAAAAGTTGTTTCCTCGGCCCAGAACGCGAGCCGAGAATGGGTGCGCAGTTGACAAAGCATGTCTCCTGTCATAAATAGCCTGAAAGGCTTGCTTGTAGGTAATCTTCTCTTTTCGAGCTAGAGACGCTTCCTCGGTGTGGGGATAGTTGATCTATAAGCAGCGTCAGCCTTTGGTGTAAGCAGATTGGCCGTTTGGCGTCATCTGACCTCGACAGCACGCCTGACAACTGTCCTTTCGTCTAGTACAGCTCTCAAGTGTCGACATGTTTGCCCCAGGTGGACGATGTCGTCAAGATCTAAATCCAAGGTGATACAGAAGAGTAAGTCAAAAGGTAGCTGGTCGAGGGAAGTCGTCATAGAACGAGAATAAGATAGATAAGGCGAAGAGGGCACGTGAGTAGAGTTCCATGCGAGTAATTGGCCAAGAAGAAGCACGATCTTGAGATCTTGAGATCTGAACAAGAAGAAAAGGCTCGAGCTAAGGCGAGGTGGCGTAGGTCAGGTGTGGAGTACTGCTCGTTGAATGCGCGCAAGCACGGGCTTTGAATAATCCCACATTCGCAGAGCCGCATGGCCTGAGGGAGAAGCTAGGGTAAAGTCTAATAATTCATGGAACGGCGTCAGCCTTCTTTCGTTTCACGCAATCCCTGACTGTTCTACCTGCTTGCGTCAGAAGGCTGAGAAATGGAAAGCTGTGTGAGCCCGATGATATTGCGGGGTCGAATTGGGGCCACGATACACGATGTGTTACCAGTTCGACCGATCAGAAATGGTCAGATGCTCTGTCGCATAGGTCCTGGAATACGACTTTGTTTCGTGCGACGAGGGTTGGGCTACTGGATCGTGCCAAGCGCTGAGCCGCATTGACTTTCGCATGAGGTAAGCGTTGCGGCTCTGCTCCTACAAAATCAGGTACCCCACACGACTCTACTCTTTTTTGCTGGCTTAGCCTGCTAGAAACCCCGCACACCTATGAACTAAGGGGCCGAGTCTCGGTACTAGATAGCCAGCTGATAGATCGACGCGCTTTGCAGGGTCGCTCGTCACCATCGAGTGTTTTGGCCCCATTATGTTGTGCCATCCCATGTACGCTTGATATATGCTCAGCCTTGCTCTACAATATTGAAGGATTCGCGTAGAGTACACCCGCCAGGCTGATTCCAGAACCACTCAGATCGATGCCCTATGCGTCCAGCACCATGCTCGTGCAGCTCGTGGCACGGCTGCCTGCATGTAATTTCGCTTTCACGCCCCCTCAACGCCCTTGGCCCTGTCAGAGCAACGTATTGAGGCATCGGGGATGCGGGAACGCTATAGTGCCAATTGCAGCTTGCTGGAGACATCATACCGTTCGTTGCGCATTAGAGCCTGAAAATTCAGGATACCGTCAGTGGATTCGACCAGTAAGGGATCGTGTGGTACGCCATCGGGCATCGCGTGTACGAGGTTCTCCATGTGATCAATCCTAGCGAAATGGGGCACTCTTCCTGTTTGGTACAGATTGACAGCGAAGACTGGTTGCGGAAATCCTTAGTGATGGGATTGCTCGAATGGGGATTGAGTGGCCGTCCTTGCAGCACGTCGGCCTTCGTACCGACGAACGATTGCGTGCCTCCTCGTTTCGATGGTACCCGACTGGGCTGGATAATCGTGTCACTTCATCGATATTTTTGCGCTCTTGCACGATGTGTGGCCTTCCCAGCTCTTACAATAACCCAGCTAACACATCCCACACGTCCACGGGTATTTAGTGGAACGTAGTGCCGAGTGTAGACGCACATGATCGATCGCGTGGTTGCTCGTGTCTCTTAGCATCAGGCTAAGTTACTCAACCGAATCGTTGGAACGGAATTGGAGAAATGAAGCGACGCGGCGGAATCTTCCAGCGTGTTGTTAGAATGGATATTCGTCCTCCGAAGCAACGGGAAGAGACGCAGTAGCCTAGAGATAAGCCACGAACATCCATCACTGCTCCGGGCCAGCGCGTTGGCGTTCTTGACCCTCCCATCCCACATATGGCCAGCCCTTGGGAAGGCTCGAGTAGGGCGGTAAAGTGTATCGTCCTTTACAGCTTCCCGCATCCGGACAATCCAGGTCGCATAAGCCGAAGGTCTTGCAGTAGCATTCTTTCGCGGTTGGGCAGTGGACAGGAGGTTTACCGAAAATCACTATCAATCATGTTAGCACATGATCCACGCCACTTGAAGAAGCAAAAAGCGCGCAGAGCCTCGTCACGCGCGGGGTCGTGAGGTAGGGCGCGAAACACCAGCGGATGTCGACTTACTGTGCCATGAGTACTCAAACACCCTCCCACTGATAGCATCCCCCAGTTCAGTCCCCATAATCCAATCCCGGTACTTCTCATACTGCTCCTTACTCCTCTCCCTAATCTTGTCCCTCGTCGCCGCAAACTGCGCACAGCAGCTCACCCCAACAGCATCCGGCACCTTCTCCCCCGGGAACAGGCTCTCAAAAGCCTTCTTATACTGTCCACCCGCATGCACGGCCTCCCTGTGTTCGCCCGCTTCAGCCAGCGGCTTAATCTCGTTGGGGCAGCCGAGGGACCAGGCGCAGCGGATGTTGACGTAGCCTTCTTTCTCGAGGTAGGGCAGCTGGAAGTGGCGTAGCATGGGGAGGCCGTCGTAGTCGGGGTCGTCGTTGTGCCATTGGTAGCGGTTGGGGTGGATGAAGAGGACATTGTCGGGGAGGGACGCGTAGTGGTCGATTATGTAGCTGCGCGCGCATCCATCGTTAGCATGCTTGACATGGGACGAGGGATAGTATGGATGGGGACGTACGTCAGATAGACCATGCTCTCTCGGCCCTTGTTCTTCGGCACCGTGAGCTCCGCGCTCGGATCGTCGACATGGTAGATATTCTTCTCCCAGTGCGGAAAGTACTCCTCGAGCCACGTTGCGTTCTCGGAACTCTGGCTAGCGACGACGACGGCGGTCCGACGCGCTTTGATGCCATCGTTTGCTTTTAGCGGCTTCCCTTTCGGGTTGTGCGATGACTGGTCTGGCTGCTGCTCATCGTAGAGTTCGTCGGGAAGGTGCGACTTGGCCGATCCAGCTGAGGCCGCCGTCTTGTCCCAGAGCTCGAACTTCAGATGGACGAAGAGGGCGGTGAGAAGGATAATATTGACGAATATGACCACATTGCGAGCGGTGATTAGACGAGGCATGGCGCCACAAGCAGAGTACCCACGATGTTTGCACTACGGTTTCCAGAAACCTGGGGCACATCACATGCGAACGCTTGGTCCATAAGGGGGTGATCGGCGCTAGTCGAGAACAAGCCCATGTTAGCCCAATGAGTTAGGAGAAACTCAAACTACAACTTCGCATGCTTGCGCTCACTTTGTAACAATCTAACTGTAATTCCTTTATTCTATCTTATACCATAAATACCGAAGCTGCGGGCATTACGACCAGAATGGGATGCCAATACGCAGACAGCATGCTGCATGGCGCGCTCCAATACGGCAGGACGAGGCGTCGAAGACTGCGGACCAGCGCCTCCAGAGCTCCACATGAGAACCCCCCAAGGCTGACTCCATTACTTCAGCCTTAATTGATGTGATGAGATTTCATCAGACCAAGGCTGTCTTCGCGGGCCGTGTGGCAATCGTCAGGTCACGATATCTGAGCAGGAAAACCTGCAGCCCAGCTCATGCTCAGTGACTTCAGCAAAGCATCCCCATATTGATGCGCACCTCGCGTGGCCTTATCAGTGGCGCAGTTAACGCGTGATGTCTACTATGGGGCGGAGCAACAACTTACGCATGTAGTCTTTGCGCCACCGTCTGCCAGTGCATGGAAGGACAAGCTTCCCCGTCAGAAGGCTATTACGGTGGTCTCATCAGCCTGTCTTTCCAACAAGGTCGCCTTGGCATGTCGCACCCACTTCTCAGGCGCATCAATGAACCCGAAAAACATATATAGGCGTGTCTAAGGCCCTTTCTCACGTCAGATCCGCACCACTCCTTCCCTAATCCAGCTGTTCCAGCGATGTCGATCGGCAGAATCCAAGCGAGTGGAGTAGCAATCAATCCGGAGCTACAAGTAGCCCTAGCGCAGCTTAACTTCGACTTCTCCCTGTTCAAAGTAGACGCACCGCCCGAATATGGACCACTAGGTGCCTCCCTGTCGAACGCCCGTCGTGAGACTGCGGAAGACGGAGCTCAGCACATCACTGCGCGTAGACTCGGTGCCCTTTTCAAAGATATTGTACCCCTTACTCCGATACTTCACGAGTGCTACGGCAAGCGAGTTTCAGAAATTGCGAAGGTCGAAAGTGCAAACCCAAAAGGGTCTGACAAGTATGGCAGTTTTGCGGAGTTCGTAGGGGCTGATGCTACGACCATCTGGGCTGCAGCCACGTCGGGTCCTGATGCTATTGCGGTGCACTTATTGGTGAGTCCTTGATCTGTTCATTGAATGTAGCAAACGCTTACTATCCTGCAGGCTTGTATGCTCTCTCGTATCTTCCCTTCCGAACATGCCACCTCTGTCTGGGTCGAGTTAGTGGAGCATAGGGTCAAGGAACTCAAGCAACAGTACGGTCAACAGTACGGCCATCCGTTATCTGCCGCCGCAATGCAAGACATCTCGAGAGCCCGCCTGCGCAATTGGGACGCAAGCGCGCGCTCCTGGGTACAGACGGCTGACGAGGTGAGGGTGTTGCAAGGGAAGCAATTGATGCTGTTCGCCAAGAACATCGATTTGCAAGTCGACGACAAAACTAACGTCTACGAAAGCGTCATCAGCGCTTGGAAGAACGCGATGACAGCCATGGAGAACCTCCTCAAAGGCATGCCACAGATGGTTCAGGGCGGTGCTGTGCTACTTGGGTTGTCAGCATGGCACATCTACCCCGATATGGTAGTGTTGAAGAATGAGTCCACGGTGGAAACCAAGTTTGATGACGACCTGGTGCCTAAGGGCGGTTTGATGACGATTCCGACCAAGCACACCAGCACAGAAGATGGACAGGGTGTTAGATGGTCGTTGTCTCTCGCTCACTTGCGATTTTATGGAGAGCCAGTCAAGATATCTCGATCTTCGGGTGCAGAACTCTCACGAATAACCTTCGATCAACTTGCCCTTGTCCTACTCGGCGCTATTGCGAAAGGTTGGGGCTTCGACGAGGTGGAAGACGTTACATGAGTGGCTCAGTTCTTCACTAAACTATGGAATTACCTGGAGAGATACCTTAAGTACAGAATTGGTCGCGCCCTGACCGAATACGATCGCAGGACCCAGGAGAAATACGATCAAGAAAACATAGCTTGGCTGAAATACATAACTGAAACGTCGATCAACAGACCTCAAAAGCAATTTCGGAGAGGAGACAACACGAGAGACACAGTTCGTGTTAATGCACCTATCGCAAAGACTGATATCGAAGTAGCGAATGAGAAAACAGCCTTGGTTGACGACTTCCTCAAGAATTCTCTTGTTCACCAGTTCTTGGAGCACCCATCTGCGTGGTTCTCACGCCTGGCCAGAGCTGCACAAAAGTATCTGGACTCGAAAGCCGAAAGTGACATGGGAACCCTTGCCATTGCATTGGCAAAGCTTGGTCAACGCGGCGGAGGTGATTTCCTGGGCCCCAAACACGCCCATTCAGCCCCTGTGTTTGGTATGCTACGACCATTAGTTCGAATTCGCATGTTCAGCAGTGAGGAGGCCAGAATTCAAGTCTTGCGCAGGATTGCTACTGAATGTGGCTTGGATGCATTGCCAGAAGGGTCTGTCGTCATCCGATATCTTCATCGACGATCAGACGAACCCCATCTGAGTAACTACGAATACGCGACCGCCTTCCCTGTTACCCTATACCAGAAATCAAAAGGAATCAAGCCAATCGATCAAGCAAAAGGGAAAGGGCATGCTAGATGGATCGGATTTCCTGCTTGTAGTTGCGCCGGCGATACGTGTGAGCATTGCGCTTGCGGAGACTTTGATGTGGCATGCACATCGCGGTGCCATCCCACAATCACCAGTCAGCGGAAGTGTCTGAGATACAGCAATGAACTGAATCTATGGCAGCTTAAAGATGATAAACGAGCTTCCAAAATCGCCGAACTTCAAGAGGAGTGTTTCTCGCTGAGCGACACAATCATAGATTCCTTGGAGGTGCCTGAGGAGGGCCATGGCAATCGTGATCCTTCAGTCAAATGGGGCGAGAACCACGAACAAAGCTGGATGAGATTGAAGAGAACGCTCTTGAAGCTGCACAAAGCAAGAGCTTTCACATGGCGTAACGCACCCAAGCAGTTCTCACTTGAACATGATGGTAGTTACCTCCAGCGGAGAAAAGACACAGACTTTATGTTGGTGTGTGGAGATCCTCAAACCGCTGCGGTATATGTCCGAATGAGTTTTTTGGCGTTTGCAACTGAGCAGGTCGCTAGTATCGGGAGTTGGCGATTCGATCTGGACGAGATTACGACCGCTTTTGAGGGCAATTCGTTCAAAAATTACCAGCCCAATGATCTCGTAGCCTTCCTTACGAATCTGGGTCCGACCGTGCACTCTGGAGGGTCGCAGAGGGGTGATCTCACCACAACGACTTCTCGTCTAACATTCTTCCCGTCACTAATGGCCTTTGCATCAGCTGCAACCTTGTTCGACCAGCTTGCAAACGCGACCATCTCGCTTGGTGTAATATCACAACCTCTGTACAAGGCCCTCTGGGTTCCGAACATCAGCTCGCATTACAGGGCCACCTCTGGACCGAAATTCCCGGGGTACCAAAACTATGTCCTTTCTAGGGAGCAGATCTTCGCTTGTATAGCCATGTTCGACAACGGGGACGTGAACATTGACCCTACTCGACTGCGTAAAGTTATGGCTCTCTCGAGCGGGAACTCCATATATGTGGTCAAGCAACTGCTGTGTGATCCTTCTACTACCCATGCGGAGTGCGAAATAAAGAGAGTAGTGGGTAATATCGGCAGAGCTGGAATAGGCATGCTGTACCCTCCAGACGAACCTCGAATATCCAAGCCTGATAACGAGGGATGGCAACTGGTGAACCATAATCGCTACAATGGAGAAAAGGAAGACAACTTTGGAGCAACGTCGATGCACCTTATGTTCACTGGATACGAAGAAAGCATAGGCAGTCATGGCCTTCACGATGCGCAAGTCACGTTGCTAGAGTCAGTGGTTGCCGTTCGGGATGGAGGCGAATGGAGGGCCGATCTTGATGTACTACGAGCGCTTGAGAGCGAAAAGCTCAAAAGATATCGGAAGCGGGCTAGTTGCGACCACCACAACACTGTCCGTTGCCAGGATGGAGCTGGCGTCATAAAGCTGACGTCTATCGACAATTGGCACGAACTACTGGAGCTTGATGGAAAGGCTGGAGTTGTCAGAGCCAATGGCAACTGGATAGCAAGGCTTGCAACGACCGTCATGGCCCTTCAAAAAGGACACGAGGTTGTTGTGATCGAAAATGAGCCGTGCTGGCACTGTATGCGTGCAGCAAGTCTGTTTGGTAAAGAGGCGAAGAAAGGACGACAGCAGCCCGCACGGCTGTCGCTCTTGTTCATTCATTAATGCAAAGTCCTTCATTGAAGTCGCTGGCATCTATGGAGGATGCCCCAGGTAGTTTTGTAGGTGTTTCTGTCATTTAGCGACCTCTATGGTTGGGCACAGCTGCGCTCGCAATCATCAATTACTCGGCCATGTACGCAGAGGACGAGATGGTGAAGGAAGGAATTGTGAAGCGTACGAACATAGTCGCAGCAGGAATACCACGAATTCTACGTGGAACACAGTAGATGTGTTTCCCGAGCTCCAAAGTTGTTGGTATTGGGATAAGAACCATGGCGGGTGTACGAGTTGGTCTTTCCTGCGTAGCACGTCAGCGTCAGGACGACCTTCTCTCGTTTGGTGATAGAGGTAAGGCGTGGAAAAGCTTCTATTCGCGACTGAGACCAATGGTCTTCGGATGAATGACGAAGAAAGTGCGGGCCGAAACTTACCAGTGAACTTCATCAACATAATGCTGGACTAGAAAGTCGCAAATCTGGCGATCCGGCATCCTCTTCAACTGTTCTAAGATCTCCGGGGACGCTTCTTGGGTAACGTCTTGGTTACCGCGGTGTTGGCCGTTGGCAAGTCCTAGCTGTTTGAACAAGTACCGATTAGCAAGGAAGTACATTTCGTCGATTATACTACGCGTTCGAATATCGCAACTGGATGTGAGGTGAACTTACCTTGCGAATCAAGGCGATGGTGCTACTTTCGCTGTACTCGAAGTATCCGAATGAGTGCGAAACAGAGCTGACGGTTGAGCCTGACTCAGGGCTTTGCTGTCTTGCGCTCTTCCAATTCATTAGGGCGTCAGTGACGCGCTCATTGGCATCGCTATCTTGCGACTGCGCATCTTGAATCGCGGAGCGTGGCTCATCTCCTTTGTCACGAGGCTCTATCCTCGAGGCCTGTAGCGGCGTACGACCAGCTTGCAATGCCTGAGAAGGGTAGTATGCGCACTCCTCCGGGCGTCGGCGACGTGAACAGTGATCGCACGGATAGCGACGGTTGCACTACGTATTGAAGATATCCAATTAGACCGATCCGGCTTTCTGCATTTTTATATGCATAGTCATGCGCTCGAAATCGCAGTCAAAGAAGCTAGGGAAAGCACAAGACGTTCGCACCTTTTGTTTCTTCGTGTAGCATGGAATGCACGACGAAACAATCCTTTTTTTGCCAGTGTTCTGCATCTTGGACAAGAAAGAGAATCGTGATTAGGCAAGCAAGCGTGGAGAGGGAGGGACTAGTGTGGCGTGGTTTTCGTTGAGGAAGCCTTGAGTTTGATCCAACGAAGATCGACGTCAACATGTGGTTTCGCTGAGCAAGGGCGAGTAAGTGGACTCGTTCGGTGTTAAGACTGGAGTTAATTCAAGACCGGATTTAACGCCAGTACCGTTTGTTTGTATTGGCATGGTCGTGCTTCACTGTCGGGCTGAACAAGCTAAGCTGCTTTCGACTGTGCTATGAGGTTACAGCATCGAATGATGCACATGGCAATCACCATTTTGGTCATCATCTCATTGCTGGAAGTCGTGCATCGCAAGATATCGGGTCTGCGAAGTTTGTTATTAAGTTTGGGCATGCGATATTGGTGGCTTATCCGCTTCGGTCAGCTAATGCCTGCTGGATTTCGGTTATGGGGTGGAAGGCCCCTTTGGTAATCCCGCTGCTTACCTACATTTCGGCCGACATCTTACGGTCCTTGGCATTTTCAACCGTAGAGTATTACCAACCTCAAGGTTGCCTGCTCTATTTGGGCGACAATATGGGTGGTATACAACGTGTTTCTGAAGCGCTTCAACTTGAACAACTCGCACTAATCCACAACTTTGTTCCTATCTGCTTTCCACGGATTCCAACACTTCTTCGACACCAGTCGCGCGTTCAATCAACGGCGAGAAGCCAGCGGAGCGGACGCTTGGCACTCTCCGCAATGCAGCGGAGCCGGAGAAGTCTCCGCGCGACATCTCTGGCTGGAAATGGTATCTGACTGTGGCGTCTATCCTGTTCTCCACATTTCTCTACGCACTTGACGCTACGGTAGTCGCGGACCTCCAGTCTGTCATTGTCGAAGAATTCGGCGGCATTCAGCAGCTGTCGTGGCTGAGTGTTGGCTTCCTGCTTTGCGCTACAGCAACCACTCTTTTCTGGGGACGCATCTACGGCCAGTTCGATGCCAAGTGGCTCTACATCTTCCATGTTGCGATCTTCGAGATTGGCTCAGCCATCTGCGGCGCTGCGCCGTCGATGAACGTGATGATTCTCGGCCGTGCCATCACGGGCTTGGGAGGATCCGGTCTGTACGTCGGCTGCATGACGCTTATCGCGGGCACTACTACCATGTCTGAACGTCCGGTCTACGTTTCTGGTACTGGCTTTACCTGGGGTCTCGGTATCGTTCTGGGCCCAGTCATCGGGGGTGCTTTCAGCGAGTCTGCAGTAGGCTGGCGATGGGCGTTTTATATCAACCTACTCATCGGTGCGGCGTGCGCTCCAGTCTACCTGTTCCTCATTCCCAGCAGAGATCCTCGACCTGGTGTCTCGTTCCGCGCGCGACTTACCGACATGGACTATCCTGGCACCATTCTGCAGGCCGGCGCGTTGACGACTTTCATCGTTGCCATCAATATGGGTGGCATCTCGTATCCGTGGGACTCAGGCCGCATCATCGCACTGTTCGTCGTATCCGGTGTTCTGTTCATCATTTTGGGCATTCAACAGTATTGGAACATACTCACAACGGAAGTCCGTCGCATCATCCCTGTGCAGTTCTTCCGATCACGGATGGTGCTCATTCTCTTCAGTATCACCGCTGCCGGTGGAGCGTGCTCTTTTGTGCCCATCTACATGGTCCCAATCTTTTTCCAGTTTACCCAGGGCGACGGTCCCCTCGATGCCGGAGTGCGGTTACTCCCTTATATCGTCGTCATGGTCGTTACCGTCTTCATCAATGGTGGCTTGATGTCCAAGTTGGGATACGTCATGCCTTGGTTCCTTGGTGGTGGCGCCCTGGTCGTGATCGGCTCCGCCCTCATGTACACAATCGATCTGGACACTGCTACGGCTCGCGTGTACGGCTTCACGATCCTGATGGGTGTTGGAGTCGGTATGTTTCTCCAGGCGCCTTTTTCAGTTGCCCAGGCAGTTGTCGAACTGGAAAACATTGCGCCAGCGATCGGCTTCATCACGCTGGCTCAGTCTGTGGGCATCACCTTTGCTCTGGCCATCGCCAACGCTATCCTTCTCAACCAAAGCCAGAACAGGATCGAGGGCATTCTGACTGATGTCTCTTCGGCAGACATCCAGGCCGCTATCTTGGGCGCTCGATCGGACATCGTACAGAACCTATCCCCGGAGTTGAAGAACCGCGTTCTTGCCGCTATCGTCAGTGCCATTAGCAAGACCTACAGCCTTACTATTGCCGGTGGCGCTCTTGTCCTGGTCTTGAGCATCTTCATGCCTCGCAAGCGACTCTTCCAGAAGAATGCTGATAGCACTGCTCCCTAAGCTGGCCTTGGTCACCTACCGTTCCTGTCCTGCTTCTCCATTGTCAGTTTGCATTGCCAGAAGCACGCAGCTAGCCTCTGTAGACCAGGGGCGGAAGGAAACGCGCGGATACTACAACACCAACACGGATGCAAGCATGCCTTGCACCGGTTAAAATGTACAATTACCCTAATAGATTAATCAACAACCTTCCCTTCATACCACCACGCATGCTCCTCAGTGACACACCATGAGCCCCAAATTTCAACTGTGTCTGTGACTGATGCTGAAAGTCGCGATAAGGAGCATAGGCGTACAAAGTAGATTTCCCAGGTTGGTGATATGCTGGTTGGCCGTGTAGGAGACGAGGAGCGCTGAGATAACATCACCAGACACAACGCCAAGCCACTAGTCCAACTGGCATCGGCTTCCCCCAACTGGTCCCCCGGCGTTCAAGTTCGTGGGCCATGCCACGGACGCACATGCACACGCGCCAATCACAGTCACAGCAACCCAGGTACCTTCATTCAAGCTGAATTTGACCCCAATGTTTCTCCAAACCTCGAATCTTTGTCAATAGCTAAGCATCAATCGGACGTAGGTATCATTTCGCGCTACCCGGGTATCTAGACTCTTCCAAGGTTGACTCGTGCGTTTCGAAGCAGCAACCACCACCCTAACACTACCACGAGGATGAGACCAACTCTTCATCACTTCGTTCGTCACCGAACAGCATGTAGCAGCTCTGACCTCCTGCCCATAGCCACAACCCGGTGCTAGCGAGGGCTCAGATCATAGTCACTCTTGATGCTATTACACGCAACAGGCACTTCCGCTTCGATCTCCCCCCTTGCAATCTTCTCTTCCTTTGCCTTCCTCTCCTCACGATACACCCTCATCTCCTCATCCCGCGTATTCTTCGATTTCATAGGGAAAATGATGCCAGGTGGCGGGTTCCACCACTGTCTAAGCGCCATCGCATCAAGTCAGCTAATGTTTGCATATTCAGTGTGCGCACTTACTTCTTTGGAACCGTTCTGCCATCAGCGCCTCGGTACTTGTCTTCCGTCTCCTGCTTCCACGGTTTTGTGTCAAGCCAGGCCTTGATCATCTCTGGTGACATGGGTTTCGCGTCGTATATCTCATAGTCGCTGATCTGGTCGGGCGGACCAGGGAGATAATGGATTTCTCTGTAGACCCCGTCGGTGCCGATCGAACCGATGCAGTGCCCGTCTGGATGGATTTTCGTTGATCTTAGCATGGCATTGAACTGTTCTCTTCCAGTTTGGGGTTGCGCAGGTTGAATTATCTCACTATTGGAGCCTTCGACCTGAGCCGCATCCTTTGGCTCGCGTTGACCATGGCTTTGGTTTTCACCTTGAGGCTGTTTTGCTTGGGGCGACGGTTGTGACGCTGTTGGTGAGGACATGGTTGTTTCGTTCTCAGCGCTGGAAGAATTTGCGCGCTTATCACTTCTCTAGACGCATGTCAGTCACAGGCTCGGGTAGAACGGGTAACTCATGTAACCTACA